GTCCTCCTCGTGGCTCTTCGTAGAAGGCTCCTCCGGCAGGCTTTTGTGTTTGCTGAGTCTTGTGGTAGATACGCGCATCCTCGGGATCCATGAAACTCTCGACACGACGGGGCATGTAGATGGAGTTGGCGGCGGAGGTCTCTTGCGAAGCGAAGGAGTCCATGGAAGAACGGGGGTGGAGAGGCACGTGAGGGACGTTGGGGTTGCGGGGCATTGTGTTGGGGAGCGTAAGACCAGAGTCGTTGCCTTGCTGGTACCATCCGTTGGGCAGGCGTTCTGCGGCGGCGAAGCGTCCGTCGATGTTGTCGCCGGGCTGTAGAGGAATAGCGGCTGGGCGGTGCTTCTGCGCCTCGGCGGCAGCCTTGAAAGTCTCAGGAACAACGTTCAGATCGTCACCAGTAGCCTCGGCGGCCTCGATAGCCTCCTGGGGAGTGGTCTTGGTGTCAGCGCTACCAGCATCGGCACGAGGTCCACCCCATGTGCGCTGACCGGCGGTGAAGATACCGTAAACCATGTAGACCCAGTTGAAGAAGGGGTTGACGATGAACATGAGGGGGTACAGCATGATCTTGTAGCGACCGAGCTTGGCGCCAAAGTACAACATGAGAAGCCAGTTAAGCCCCAGAGAGATGGCGATGAAACCAACGGGAAGGTTGGCAACCTTTTGCGAGGTAGTGATCAAAGAGATACACAGGATGAAGAAAAGCAGGGCGGTGGTTCGGATGGTGTTCTGCATGAAGCGGACGATGAGGAGGATCGGGTAGCGCTTCCAGAGACGGATATCAGTCAACATGCAAACTTCGTTGGTGATAAAACCCAAGAACCAGCGGCGACGTTGCTTGAGCAGAGACTGGTAGGTTTGCACAGCTTCGGTCTTGCAGAATGCTCCGGTGTTCATCTGGATCTGGTAACGTTCCTTGGCACCAATCATGAACAAGTGAGTGAGCCAACGGTCCTCACCAAGATGGCACTTGCCGTAGTCGAAGAGGTCGTCGCATTGCTCGGCCTTGTCAGCGAAGTAGTACTTGGCCATCCTGCGGAAAGCGGAGAATCGAAGCATAGTAAGGGCACCAGGCAAGCAAGTGACGGCACCGCAGCCGGACTCGACTGAACGCTCGAAGAGTTGACCGTGAACGTATTCCATGTCCTGAAGAAGGGTGATGAGCGAGTTCTTCTCGGTTGTGGAGGTAATGACACCAGTCTGAGCCAACATGTTCTTCTTGCTGCCGGGTTTGAGTTCCATCTCGTACATGAAGTTCTGAATGCAGGTCTTGTCGAGAATGCAGTCGGAGTCGATGAAGAGGACGAAGAGGTTGTCGTTGCGCTTGAGGTACTCGGAGTAGATCTTGTCGATGAGCTTGAAGGTTCTCTTCTGGCAGTGACGCTTACCACCGTGGGGGAAGCGGGAGATGGTAATGCGGCAGCTACGGTAGATGACATCGATGGACTTGGGGTAGGTGTCGAGCGTAAGAGGGACACCGAGCTTCTCGATGGTGTTCAGGTAGAGTTCGTCCTCCTGGTCTCCGTCAAAGGAGAGGAAGATATGCAGGCAGGAGGGCGGGTATTCGCAGTCGACCAGGGAGTCGCAAGTTCGGAGAAGAATCTCGGGAATCTCCTTGTAGCAGGGCATGATGATGACGACCTTGGGGGCAGATGCCTCGTCGAGGACGGATTTAATCCTGCGGCTGCGACCAACGGAGTGGGTGACGAGCTGGTAGACACAGAACAACCACGGGACGGTCAAGAGACCGGCAAACGACCAGAAGGCGAACCACTGGAGGAAGCCAACCATCTCCTGGGGGAAGTACTTGGTAACTTGCGACGGGAGGGGGAGGGTAACGACCATGATAGGCAAGAAGATGGCACTGTTTCTGTCAGACTTGGCTCGCATGAAGGAGCGGAGTTCAAATGCTTACCGGAGAGCGAAGAAGAGGATACCGAAGAAGATGGACAGAATGCGGACACTGATCGTCTCGGCCTTTTGGAAGACCTTGACAATGCAGTACAGGAAAGCAGCGACCCAGAGGAACCACTCGAGCAGGGCAGCCAACATGAGACCACCGATGATGGCAACGTAGGCAATCTACTGCAGTCAGTTTCTGTAGCCACAGTCGGCAATGGCTGTACTCACATCCTTAGCTGGCCAAGGGTCGTCAATGTCTGGGGTAGAATGGTCGATTTCGCGGGCAAAGACCGCGCGGGCGGCGAGGCCCATCATGTCTTGCCAAACCATGGCGGAGTATTAAGTATGTATATTCGTTGTTGTCGTTAAGCTAATAGCGAGCGATGCTGTCTGGGTTTCGGACAGCCGTCGACCCTATATGTAAAGCGACTAAATCGGTGACGCAGACGCGGTGAGTTGGAGAAGCACGGCCCGTCGCTGAGGTATGGGAGGGGCCCTGAGTAACAAAGGCTCGTAACCCAACAGTGGCACGGGGCTAGATAATTGACGTAGAGGCGAATTGTTGATCCAGAACTGTCGCAGAGCTGAGAAAACTACTAGGATACAGGTATTGGTGTTTGGCGGTAGTAGTTGTAGTGGTGTTAGCGGATGGTAAGTCTTCGCGGCCCAATAAACGAGTGTAAGGGTGGGAAGGACAAGAAGGGCTTAGACCAAGGTCATTAACAAGATACCGCTCGCAAGGGCAGTCCGGAGTCGTATGGGAGGAGCGCCTTGAGGAGGAAGGAAGTCTCTACGAGGGGATCGAGCTGGTTTACAAGCACGAAAAGCGGGCGCGCTCGGTCCACATGGCCTTCACCCGAAGAGTGCTGGATCCTCTGGGCAGCAGTCGAGATGCACGATCGTCACAGGGGCACTCCAACTAGATTTGGCAAGCTGCCCGCGCTTGGAGCTCGAAAACGAGTTGCGTGCAGGCCTACGCCTGGTCTCAGTGGCCCCGACCCGTGCCAAACCACGCGCCGGCGGCCCTATGCCTGCAGCCTCGCAGTTATTTTGGGCGCCCCCATGCGCCGTCTACCGTTAGCTGTCTGAAGCTTGCAGGCAAAGTGTTCCTCTCTGTTTCGCATCCTCATCACACACAGAGGCACATCCTACCTGTTTGGGGCCGTGTGTTTGGGGCCCTCGAGAGCCGTGGTCTGCACGCTGGGCATGCAGTGGTGTAGTAATTTTGTAGTCATGGTAGCTTCTACCTCATTCCGCCGGACGTGGCCATCGTCGCTCGCATGAGGTGGCATCGTCGCTCTTGGAAATTCGCCTGTAATGCACCGCTGCTGGTCGCCTTCTATTGCCAAGAGATCCTCCAGCTTCGCGTGGATTCCGGGCGTTCAGGGGTCGGCATCGCTCGCTGTTCTAAAGCCATGTCCGACCAATTATGGCACCACGCGCCTCATGCCGTCTCGTAATCCCCAGCGGCGGCCCCAGAGCCTCGCGGTAGAGGCTGTCTGTCACACTGTGCTATGGCTGGTAGCTGTCGTAAAAGAAAGCCATGTCGCCGTATCCCTATTCCCATGGCCTATCCGACGCTACGCCGAGTCGCTGCACCCTCTCCTCCCGCATCTCGTTGAGTCGCGAGCGCTAGGGAAATACCTGATGAAAAATACGAGGGCTGTGGATATGCCAGGCCGACCCGCTGCAAAAAGCACGAAACGGCGACGGCGGCCCCAACATGCATGGAGACTGACAGGAGGAAACCTGTGCCGCTTCCGCTCGTACCGGTAATGATGAATTTTTCCATGTTCCACAGCGTGGTGGACCGCCCGCTCGTCATAACGCATATAGCAACATCGACGTTGCAGCACGGGGGCCTGTCTTTGCCCTGATTCCCGAATAGATCTCGCCTACCCACATTGGCAGAGGCTGAGGGCGGCTCGCAATCGATAAAGTCGCTGCGCACCGGCGACCCGTAGTTTCGGATCCTGCTTTTCCTGCCCCGAGCGATGACAAGGCGCTGATCGCACTCGCTACGATGCTCATCAATCTTGTTTGCTGCCGGCCCAACGGTGACGGATCGCCAGTGCACTCAACCTGCATGCACAGCATTGTTGACTTGTTTACACCGACTCCAACGTGCAGCGTGTTCGGCCTTCCTTCTGGAATGGCCAGGATCTCGCCCTCGTATAGTATACATCTTACACGTCCGTGTCACTCATGAATCGCTGCTGTTGAGATGAGTGCGCTTGCCGTCAACCGCAATAGCGCCGCGGCATATGGCCTCTACGAATTTGGTCATGGACCCCTGAGCTACAATTGAACTCTACGATATTCGACTCTCTAGTCTATATCGCAGCCAGTCAAGGGTGGAAGAATGCGCCATGTGGCGGCCCTCAGGGGTGAATTGTTAGAGTTTGAGGCTAGGTAACCGTTTTCGCTCCCAGCTTCCAGTCCCGCACTGCAAATGCGCCACAGGGCTGAACGTCGGGTAAAGCTCAGAATGGGACGTCTTCGCCTAAGGCCTAAGTGTGTGTGACATTGAATGTGATATGGGATTCGATAATGTGCATGAGAGTCATTCCTGCCGTAATTAGTGTTGGACCTGACTACATTAGGAAGTCTGCTCGCTTGAACGCTGAGTGATGACTGATCCCCATCGTCGAGCTGTTTCAAGCGCCTTTTGGGAAGATGTATTGTGACTGTTCCAGCTTGATATAGTACCGGATATTCACCCCAGTCATCGCTCGCGTATGAATTAGGTAGTGGTGTTCATTCTCAGCACCCTGGTTGAGTACCCAGGGCTGCTTAGTCATGGCACTCTCATGTGAACCGCGGGACATTTGGTGACGCACGGATACCTGGATACGTGAGCGAACTCGCTGCAGGTACCGCTCACAAATTCACCCGCAACGTCGACCCAAGGCCCCGCGATCGCGACATTGCTACAGTCGCAAACAGCCTCGCTCTCACCCGAGCTTGTCTCACCGAGCCCGAACCAATGCAAGCCGCGCCCGCGCCTGATATATTTCCCACCTTCCATGTGCGCGTATAACCGATCCGTGCTATCTACCGCCGCCCCTCCACCACCGCGGCAATCGCCTCCTCCACCATGGACAGGCCTCGGAAGCGTACGTGCTCGCCATGTAGTTGACAGAGTTATACTAATAATGCACAGGCGAATTGCGCGAACTGAATATCCGCGCCTGGGATGGCGAACAAGGTACTTGGTCTTAGAATAGGTGCACCTGCAGCCCGCGTGCTGACGATATGTCCAGACGTCTTCGCCGTGCAAGGCTCCCTCGACTCGTCTATGAAAAAGAACACGGCCTTCATCAAGCGCCTGCGAACCGCCGTAAACGCCGCCGCCCAAGCGCAGTTCCTCCAGGAAATCCGCGCACTGTCTCTCCACAAATACCTTTCCGAGATTATCTCAGCCTGCTACGAGGGCCTGTGCAGGCTCAAGACGCCCGGCGAGATTGCTGCCGGTGTGGAAATTGTCAGCGCTCTCCATCAACGCTTCGGCCCGACCGAGTTCACGGGATACATTGCCTGGTATATTGGGAGGGGCTTAGCGACGCCGGACAAGTCACACCTCAAGACACTGGCCCCCGAAGTGCGCGAGCGCGAGGAGAAGGAGCGCCTGGCACGTCAGCGCGTACTGCTGCGAGTCGCTACCGAACTCTGGCTTGTGGGTGTTCTGCGCAGCCTGGATGACGTAGCTCGACCTGAAGAGGCGAGCAAGACCAAGGACAATGGCAAGCTCGTCGAGGGCGCCGCAAAGGCAAAGTCCCGCGCGGAGAGCGCCGACGCCGAGCCCTTTCCTCTCGAGGTGCTGAAGGACATGCTGGGTCACGACCGCGAACATGTCAACTTGCCCCTCGTCGTCATCTTCGTCAAAGCCTTCGCCTGGGATATCCTGGGGTCCAAGCCTTCTTCGGCAGAGGGTCGTAAAACAGTCAATGAGGACGGCACTACAACAGCAGAGAAGAATGGAGACACTTCCGGCGCCGAAGACGAGGACCACGACCCGCCCATCATCTCCCCCGACTTGCAACAGCGGTTCAGGAACATCCTCACCCGCTACTTCGAAGACGTCAAGACGCACCTCCTCCGCGACCAGAAACACATCCTCAGTCAGGGTCGGAAGAATGCCGAAGCATACGTCAAGTCGGGCGAGGTCTTCGAGGACCGTCAGAACAACTACGAGAAGCAGATGAAGTCCCAAGAGCGCTTGGTGACGAATGCACAGGTGCTGGCCGACGCGTTGGGCGTGGAAATGCCAGACTTGAAAGAGAAGGACAACTCCGCAAACACAGGTGACGGTGCTATTGGCCTGATCAAGGCGGGCGAATATCTGCGCGGCCAAAGCGACGGCGCTGGCATCTGGGAAGACGAGGATGAGCGCCGTTTCTACGAGAACCTGATCGACCTGAAGGACCGCGTCCCGGGTATTCTGCTGGAGGAAGTCAAGAAGAAGAAGGCAGATGGTGATGACCAGGTGGGGAAGAAAATCGAGGCCAAGGCCGAACCCATCGAAAAGGAAACAGCAGAGACTTCCAATGACGCAAAACCGACTGATGGAGACGACCAATCTACTGCCATCGCGAACAAGTCCGTCGGAGCACAGGTCGACGCTCTTTTGGCGCGCCTGCCGGAACTAGCAACCAAGGACGCCGTCGATCAGACTGCCATGGACTTTTGCTTCCTGAACTCCAAGGCCTCGCGCAATCGTCTGATCAAGGCTGTGCAGGAGATTCCCAAGGGCCGATCCGATCTGCTCCCCCTGTACTCTAGACTCATCGCAACCCTCGGGAAGTACATGCCGGATGTGGCCCAGGGACTGGTATCCTACCTCGATGAAGAGTTCAGAAGCTTGCAGCGTCGAAAGTCCAAAGACTTCCTCGGACAGGTGCGAACGCAGAATGTACGCTACCTTGCAGAGTTGACCAAGTTCGGTGTCGTCCCTGAGCACGTCATCTTTCACTGTCTCAAAGTCAGCCTAGACGACTTCTCACGGATGAACATTGAGATCATCTGCAACCTCTTGGAAAACTGCGGACGATATCTGCTTCGTAATCCCGAGACGTCTCCTCGTATGCATTCCTTCCTCGAAACTCTCCAGCGAAAGAAGGGCGCTCAGGTCATCGGCCAACAAGAGCGCATGTTGATCGAGAACGCTGTCTACTATGTGAACCCACCAGAACGCGCTGCAATCGAACAGAAAGAGCGGACGCCAATGGAGCTCTTCCTACGCAAGATCATGTACCAGGATTTGACTCGTCGCACGCTGGACAAAACCATCAAGCAGGTACGCAAGATGCACTGGGAAGAAGAGGAAGTAGTCAATCTTCTCCACAAGGTCTTTGCAAAGCCGGGGAAGATCAAGTACAGCAACATCCACTTGCTAGCCGTCATGCTCGGAACAATCCACCGATTTCACCAAGACTTCGCCATCTCCGTCATTGACGACCTTCTCGAGTCCATCACCTTCGGGCTAGAGTTGAACGACTTCAAGTTCAACCAACGCCGGATCTCTGAAGTCAAGTATCTCGGCGAACTCTACATCTATCGGTTGGTTGACTCGCCTCTCGTTTTCGATACTCTGTACAAGCTCTTGAATTACGGATGGGAAGGTGGCTATGCACGACCTGGAGGATACAATCCCCTAGATCAGCCGGATGACTACTTCCGCATTCGTCTGGTCTGCAACCTACTCGAAACCTGTGGTATGTACTACGACAAAGGTGCAGCGAAGAAGAAGCTTGACTTCTTCCTCACGTATCTGCAGTACTATGTCTGCATCAAGGAGGCACTGCCGATGGACGTGGAGTACATCGTGCAAGACGCATTCAATCTCGTCAGACCGCAGTGGAAGATCATCACCAACCCAGAGGAAGCTTCACGTGCCTTTGCAGAAGCCGTCAAACAGAACTACCAAACATCGTCAGCCGACAAGCCTGTTGAGCCCGACGAAGACGACCTCTCTGCATCAGACGACGAGATGGATGGCCCCGAAGACGAGGACGTCGTCCTACCTGATGGAGAAGGAGACAAGTCATCTGGCGAAGAAGACGATGACTCCGAGGATGATGAGCCTGTGAAGCAGACATCGTCGGATGAAGAGGAAGAACAGATTGTGGTAACACGGCAAGAAGACGAACGCGATCCAGAAGCCGATGCCGAGTTCGATCGCGAGCTTGCTAAACTCATGTCAGAGAGTGCAGAATCGCGTAAGCATGACCGAAAGCCTGTGTTCGACGTACCGCTACCCATGCGCCGTGCTCGAGAGGCTCCGGTCAATGCTGAAGACGTCGGAAACGAAGTGCCCATTCCGGAGGCTCCAGTTCCTTCGCAGACGATGAAATTCTCCCTGCTCAGCAAGCGTGGCAACAGAACGCAGACCCGATCTATTGACCTACCCTCAGATTCGACCTTTGCTGTCGCCATGCGTAACAAACAGCAAGCAGACACGGAAGAACGACAGCGAATCAAGAGCCTCGTCCTGAACTACAACGAAGCTCGCGACGATGCTGACGACACGACTGGTGATGCGCCTTTTCATTACACCCTTCAACCTAATACCAACAGAACACGTATTGACTCCCCTCAAGGTCTGGACAAGACTCCGAACCCGTATGCGCAGCCGCGCCTCGACAAAGCTGGTGCAAATCGCAGCAACCAGCGTGCAAGGAAGCTACAGCTGTCAGATGTCAATTGGTATGACTCCCAATCCTCTCTTCGGCAGAGTCGCCCTGGGACTGGTGCAACGTCTGCTTCAATGCCTAAACCGCTTTCGGTGGTCGGATCAAAGCGTTGAGACGAAGCGCGAGCCCAGGCTTCTCGCAAGCGTTCAAATACTTGCAGTCGACATTGATCTTTGGCGTTACTTTCGAAGCGCTTTTCACCATCACGAGGCTAACCGCGAGGCCCTGTGTGGGCGACTGATTGTTTAGGACATGATTTCTGTCTCCGATGCTGCAGCTAGCATCCACTATGAACGCCGCAAAAGCTCCCTATGCTTACCATTGCCATTCCTGCAGAGCATGCCATTCGCGGTATGTATCACCTAAGGATAAGCAACCGTTCCGGTATCGAGACTCCGTGCTCCAAGCGAAGAGAAAGCTTTCGCCAGTGAGAAACATCCTACTTCGCGCAAGAGCGCCCCCGAGGCAGGTGAGTATGCTACGCAGACGTATGGATATTGCGACATGGCGTTTGCGACAAGCGACGCTTGAGCCGGAGGATGAGCGACGACGGATTTGCGTCTACCAACGCGTTATCAAATGACATGCGCCGTCTTGCCGACGCCATATGAAGGGGAAGGAACGCGATGGCTCTGGGTAGCAGACGTGAGCGTATTACTGGCAGTGTATTGCTTCCCACAACAACGTTCATCTTTAGAAATTGAAACTGTCGTTACCTCCGATCTGTGCTTGCTCCACTGAGGTTTGCGACCTGTCATTACATCTGCACATTCATTCCCGCTTGCCTGCATTGACTGGGCAGTGTGCCGGATTGCCGCGTGCATGCAACCAGACAGCGAACAAGTGACGACGTCCAAGGCCTAGGCACGCGCTACCAGGGCGGCGCGCTCGCGCTAGTGAAGCGCGTACCTTGCAGAAACATGTACGTCACGAGAAAACAGAAAGTCAAAACCGCGCGCATGCCCCAATTAAATCCCCATCTCAGGTCGCTCGACCTGATTCATATTCCCGACGCGACAATACCTTAGAACGGCTCTTATAGCAAGACTAATGTCTAATATGCTGTCCCTCGCGCTCGCGTTCGCAGGCTCAGCCTCGGCTCTGACCTTGCCGACATTCCTCCAAAGCTCAGGTCAAGCTCAATCACCACTCCAGCCTCTGGACCACTCGCAGAACTACCAGTTTGATCCCCTGCTGCATCTCCCTGGTATCTCGCCATACTTTGACGCAGTCGGTTTGTACCATCCTCCCCATGTCACGGGTAATAGCCTGTACTAACTCCATCCAGGCTTTGGTCTCGAGCACAAACCCCCCGTCGGCTGCAATGTCACAGCCGCATCGTACATCATCCGCCACGGCGCCATCTACTCCAACGACGACGAATACGAAGAATACATCAAGCCCTTCCTGTGGAAGCTCGAGACACACCGCAATGGATGGACCGGCCCGCTCTCCTTCATGGAAAAGTGGCAATCCCCAATCTTGGAAGATAGATTGGAGGAACTGACACCCTCCGGCGCCGTCGACGCAGAAGCAGTAGGCAAGCACCTCCTACAACGCTACCACCACCTCGTCCCCGACACAACGCGCATCCTCGCGGACAAAAAGAGCAGAACCTACGACACGGCCGCCAACTTTGTCAAAGCCTTCCCCCAAGCCTCCGACATCGACATCGTCCGCATAACCGAAAACACAAACGGCAGCATGGAATCCCTCATCCCCCACAAATCCTGCAAGAACTTCTCCAAGAAACCCGGGTCTAAGCAACAAAAAAAAGTCATCGACCTCTACGGCGCATCCGTCGCCCACCGCCTCTCCCCTTACACGCCCTTCAAACTGACTCCTAGCGACGTCGTCGGCTTCCAGATGCTGTGCGGCTACGAATCCGCCATCAAGGGCGAGCGCAGCCCCATCTGCGCGCTGTTCACAGACTCGGAGTGGATGGCGTATGAGTACGCGTGGGATCTCAAGTACGCGTACATGGTTGGGCCGCTGAACCCGCTGAGTCCCTACCTCGGTTTTCCGTGGCTGCAAGCACAATCGGAACTCTTTGCGCATATCGAGAAGCATGATACGCCTGGTGACGGCTGGCCGGATAAACAGCGTTTCTTCCTTGGTTTCACGCATAGGGAAGTCCCGCCTTTTATCGCTACGGCACTCGGTCTTTTCAACTCCTCTTCCGACGCTGCGGAACAGTTCCCTACTGATCATATCAACTGGACGCGCGCGTGGAAGATGAGCGATCTCATTCCTTTCCTGGGGCATGTTGGTATGGAGAAGATGGTTTGTGAGAGGGGTGGTGTGCATGGCGATGAGCCGGGCACGTATGTTAGGTTCATTGCGAATTCGGCGCCGAGACCCATTCCGGATTGCCAGGATGGGCCGGGTGCGAGCTGCGAGTTTAAGTCGTTCAAGAAACTTATTGGGAAGGGGGCCAAGGCGCATAAGGACTTTCATAAGGTTTGTGATGTGAAGGATTGTAAGGATGCTAGTTGTATGGAGGGAGAGGAGTAGGAGGGTGGTGGTGAGGTGGAGTGTTTTGTAGTTGTACATGTACTTAGCGAATGCATTACACGACAGAACGCACCACCTCTCCAACACCAAGATTGAAGCTTACCGCAAAAGACTTTTGCAAGTAGCGATGGTTAAGCAAGTCTCTGTGTGCAGGCATCATCTCATGTATCCTCTAGCTGGTCAGTCGCACATGCCCAACGCACTACATGACAAATTCACGCAGACCAGAAACCATGCACGTTCTCGTCCAAAGTTATGGCTACGCTATGCTACTTATACATATACACCAACAAATGCAAAAATGCCATGATGCCGCTCGAAAATCGATATAACCTTCCCCATATGCAAGGAGACGACACATGTAGCTTAAACATGGCCAAGACCCATCCTCCGCTCTCATGCCCTTGCCCGAAATGCTTTCCTTCCTATGTGTGTTTGTGTTGCCTTCACCGAAACGCTTTCCCTTCATGTGTGTATCTGTACAATAGCGACATGTTTGTTTCCTGAAATGTAAATGTACAGCTCGAGTGCCATGTTCCGTAAACGATCGTAGTCGGTCGTATAGCTGCAATGTACGTAGAGGGAGACGCTCGAAGCGATCTTTTGAGGGTGTTCGCGCTCGTGGTGACTCGTCAATCGTAATCGTGATCGTGATCGTACTCGCTGTCGTGAGAGGGCGTCTCGGGTCAACAATCGCTGTTGAGCTTGTGCTTCGGCCAGTCATAACCGGTTTGATCCCATAACTGCTTTGCGTTAGTTGTGTGCTTGTATGATAAGCAAGACAGGATTATGTACTGTATAGTTAGGGTTCTGGTAAGCTTTCGGATGCTTCTTGATATATTCTGTAGTCTCGAAGCCCGGGGGATCGCACGTAACCATCTCCTCGCCTTTCTTCTGATACCACCGCACGTAGTCGAATCGCATGGTGGCAGGAAAGACCAGGTTCTTCCAGTCGATCCAGGTCCAGGAGTTACTGATGCCAAGGTTGAGAATGAGTGACAGGGGCTCTTCGGCGATTTGTCGAGCTTGGATGTTGCCGTTGGGTCCTACAGAACGGCCGTCCATGATGAACATGGTCTGGTCACCAACCTTCCAGGAGATGTATGCGTCCTTGCCTTCTCCGGGAGCATATTCGAAAGAGTACCGCTGATACTGCTTGTTGTCGAACCAGTCCCTGTTTAGTATTGTGCTGGCAGAGATGGCCTCTTGGAAGGCACCGCCGGCGTAGGTGTTGAGCCCACTGTAACGAAGGTCTGGGAACGCCGTGAAGTTGTAATTCGGATGGTACCAGATGTCGAAGGGGGCAACCTGGAAGCTCTGTGTTGCTATTGGCAGACCTGCTGGACCTGGGTATCCTGATGTGGCACCCACCTCGATGACGTCAATTTCTGGTGCTCCCCTTCCTCTACCTGGCGATGGGTGGTCTTCACCCGGGCAGGTGCATGAGTTGAGTCGTTGTCCAGGTAGGTGAGATAATCCGTCAGGACTAGACTGATTAGGCGTGATACCAGCATCGCAAGCTTGGTAGGTGTAGGGCCACAGCCCGTCGGTTGTACTGAGATAGCCTGGGCGGCCGAGATTGCCCATTGTCCAGGCTCCAGGCCAGAGTCCCTGTACACCGGCTGGTCCTGGTAGCGACACTGAAACTTCGAAGATACCGCCTTTGAAGCACAGCTGGTTCCAACTGTTCAGCATACCGGATCGGAACTTGAGACCATGGTTGAAGAATTCTTCCAGGCGCAGCTGAAGCGTGCCATCTTTGGTAGTGACAGCATCTGGATCATACCATTCAACGTCCTGAGTCGCGCCATACCAGACGTTGGGTGCAAAGAAGTAAGGGTCGTCTCCTTCATAGAACGTGCGGCCATTGTCATTAAACTCATCGCTGAAGACGAGCACATACTCATCGCCAAACTCTCCGGCCCTTGTCTTGACAGCGTCAGGTGTGTCGGGATCGATCAAGCCTGTCCGTATGTTCTCCAGGAGTGGATACTGTTTGTTGTTGACTATAGCCCAGATCTGAGGCCTCCAGGGATTGGGAAACATGCTCAATGGCATACCGTAGGCTGAGTTGTAGTCGATGACGCCTACCGCAGAAAGTACTGGAAGGCCGATGAAAATGAATAACAGTCCTGATATCATGAAAGCTAGGCCAATAGTGGAAACGATGCTGTCTCTTGTAAAGTGATCGCGTATCCTCGGTTTGAACTTGATGTCATCGTCGTCGCGAGGCATGTGCATTTCATCGTCCGCTTCCTCTAAGTCACAAACCAGTGGCCAGGACAGTATTCCTTTCTCCTCGTACGGTGCCGTTAATCTGTCGTCGATGAAAGACACATTCTTCTTGTCATCGTACAGCTCAATGACGCTATCGTTGAGGCCCGTCACAGACGCATTGGGGGTAAGGAACGGGTTGATTGGTGGTATGCCAGGCGGCGGAGTGGTTGTGCGCGAGCGGGCGTTCAGTCTGGCATAAGACTGCCGTTCTGATAAGGAGGTCCTCCGACTGCGGCTATGGCTACTGGCGGAATCTGAGAAAGGGTTGAAGTAGCGAGTATAGTCGGTTCCCAAGTCCTGTAATGTGAGTGGGGTGCCCGGAGAGCGGGCTCCATGACCTGTCAAGTCTGTTGTACTCCTCGCTTTTGGTGTCCTCAAGTGAGGCCGGGGCGGAATGCGCAAGTGAAGACGGCCTGTCGTGGTGCGCGGCCGATGCTTGGTCGACTGGGTATCATCGCTCGACTGCGGCTCGTGCCCGTCTGAGCTTCCATCGCTCGCTGATCTTGAGTTTGCGAGCGGCGAAGGGACGATGGGCGCAAAGGGCAACGGCGAGGATTCGCGCTCTGCCGTTGGCGGGATGCCGAAGTCGAAGCCATGGTCAGAAGCTGGGCTCTGACTGCCGCTCGGCTGGCCAATCAGCGGCTCTTCGGCTGCCCCTGCTGGCTCGGATGCTCCTTCTGTGCTGGTGTCGCGGGGAGACGCAGCTTCCCTCTCGACAGTTGAACTCGACGACGACGATCGCCTGAGCTGCTCGTCTCGCTTTTGAGGTGATTCCGAGTACTCGGACGACGTGGACGAGGCGACTCTTCGTATGGACGCCATGGCGATTAGCGACCGATTGGCGTTCGCGCCGGCGTTTTGCCCCACAGCGCGCGCTATGTCGTGCAGCTCACGCCAATTGTGATGCTGCGTGTAGTAGCTTTGTCGACAGAATGCTCAGATATATCTTGAGTTTGGAAAGAGACAGTGGGAGGCAGCGGGAGACGAGGGTCTGCGAACGTGTTGTGCCTGACGTCGCGAGGCAAGGTGCTGGTCGGAGAGCTTTGACGCGGTGGGACGTGGGAGGGTCGGGGTGGATATGGCACCTGTATGTGAGCAACACAGAAAGCGGGGAGGCTCGCAGAAGACAAGAGCTGCGTATGCGAGTGAATAAACTTCCAAAAGGCGCGTAGTAGCGACAGTGAGTAGCGATGTTGGCCTGGCAAGCGCGGTGATTGTTTGAGCGGGAGAACTGGTCTGATAGTAGCATTGATGGTGAAGGCGAGTTGCCCACGACGCGGCCAATCACAGCTTCCCAATTGGGGCTCACCAAACAACAGGAGCGGTTCCGAAGATGGGCAGGAGCGGTTGCCTGCACCTGCGCCTGTGCTGCGTCGCGCTTCGGACTCTCCTCATGCTTTCACCACAGCCGAACGGTTACTGGCACAACACGACTCGACAGGTACGCTCACCACCGTGGCCGGAGTCGTCTCCCGTCTTCATGATGTATGCGATGTTGTCGCCTCGCAGGCCGCACCTTCTTCCGATTGCTCGAACCGTGGATAGCACGATTGGCTCAACGACGCACGCGCTTACCTCATGATGGCCCTGATCCACTGTCTCCCATGCAGACAGCATCGGCGAGACCAATCGACGTTACACAACAACAGCGTGCTGGAACATGTAGCACGAGGATACCTTTACGTGTCAATTCCCATAAGTCGCGAGTACGTCAAGTCCATATCTAGCACGACACTTCCCTGACCTCTCACAAAGGCGCTCTTTCTATCGTGAACAATATCGGCACGTCCGTTCCAACCCTCACATCGTTGGCTTTGACGTGGTTGCTCGTACTGAGCTGACCGCCGTTCATCTGCGTAGGCCACTCCTTGACGTCCCATTCCAGACCTTCGGTAGAGATGATCGCCGGTCCGTATATAGGAAGAAACCCTACGTTCTCGGTAAAGATACCATCTTCCTGTAGCCCTCTCAGCAGAGTCTCTTTACTCCGAAGTATGAAGCTCAGGCTGCACTCGGAGAACAGCCATAGGCGAAGGTCGGCATGTCGATTTTCTTCCCTGTATATCTCGTTCAGGAGCCCAAGGCCCTGATCAACCCTCCCACCGAGGGTACCAAGAACAATCACATCCCGAACCATTGAGGAAGTAAGACGCGACGAGATTTTCTTCATGCATTTCCCAAAGTCTGTGCTGTATTGGTCACCATCGCGTAGCACAGGAACACCTCGTGCTTCGTAGTAGTCACGCACATCATCGCGTAACGAGTCCAAGTCTCCATGGATCATATCGGGTAGCTACGCCTGTCAGCGACCTGTGTTGACGCTATATATCACATACTTACTCACGTATTGTTCGCGCTGCGCTATCAAGTCACCTTTCAGCATGTCGTAAAGTCTATTCGCCCCGCCATCGGCACATATCCGGTATTCCGTGTGCTTCCAAAGGCGTGAAAAGGCAGTGAAGTGGGCTATTGGTTGATTCAAAATGAGAAGATCGGGAGGGTTTGGTGTCTTCTCCGGATGGGCGCTTTCCGCAAGAAACTTCGCAGGGTACAGTTCGCTGTCTTCACGTTGCGCCATATTTCTAACTTTCTCTAGGGTATCCAAAAATGAGTGTGGTGATATAGATAATGATGCAGTCAATGCGACTGTCGAAAATGGTTCAGATCGAGAATTCTGGATGACGTGCGCGATGAAGCGGCAAGTGCGATGCAGATATGGCGAA